GACACCTACGTAGATGACCTACTTTCGAAGTATAAATCAGCCTTAAGGAATCATACAATCGTTTGTGTGACAGAACTTACAAGCTCAGACCACCTTACAGAAATTCATATAAGCCCCATTTACCCTAGCCTCTGAAAACCAATCTGTGCCAAGATTGAATCAGTTAACTGTGCCGAGCTTGGTTCCATACGACCATTTACACACTATGCTAGCACAGTTCCTCACCTCCTAGTGACGATCTACAGTACTACTGCTCTCTAGAGCTAAACAAGCAAAACAACATGGCAGCGCCTGTAACATTCAGGACGTTTGCGGAGAGTCCGGCAAAGAAGGCAGCCTTTGGTGTATTCACTTGACAGAGTCGGCTTTTGGGAATTGGATACGACAAACGATAGTCTTATCAGGGCTTACAGACGCAGGAAACAATGACAGGAGATGACATTCATCACACTGCTAAGCAGAATCATCACTGGAAATCTTGTGGCATGGTAGGGAAACTTGTATTTTTATGGGTCTGAAATTTCATGATTACGGAGACTGGCTGTAAGGAGATGACGCAGTCTGCTCTGCGATTTGTATAGTTTGTTATCTTTGTCTTTGTTATCTGAGAACTGAGCCAGAACTGAACCGCTTTGAGCCCGACTGATGAACTAGTACCATGTTGGTGCGGTTTGGTTGTGACTGGCGCGGTTCGGTTAAGTTTTGCGTGCCATTTACACTCAACAGTCATCGCGGTTACAAAAGGGTAGTGTAAAAGGGGCTATAGTTGTCTCGAGAAAATACGCACCAGTACTGTTTACACAAACTTATTGTGTGGCACAGGCAGATGTAGACACCTTAATGTTTAATTTTGTTTAATGGGAAGCTTTAACCATTCGCTACATTTCTGTAGTTTGTGTTTTTCTGTATTAGAAGGCTGTAGTCCCAATTTGACAAGCATCTATAATGACGTACGAGTTAAAGGCTGTCTGGAAGTGGCACAGCAGTCCAGACTACCTTTTCTTACCACAATAAAGTTTCTACTGTGGATAAAGGTGAAGGATCTGGATCTAGAGGAGATATTTAGACCATTTTGGAAGCAGCCAGGGACTTCCAGAATGAACACGAAGGTTAAACAGAACAGCAACATTGATGTGTCCCATACTTTAACACATTTGTCATTGAACTCGAAACGTTTTTTCTTCTTAAAGCCAAGCTGAGGACAAACTGTAATGTTGTGTCTGCTTGCGATATAATAGATTGCCAATTATTCAGGGGTAGGGGTTGCAGTGAATAGTGTTCTCGCATTGCCCAGTCTTACAGGTCTTAAAGAACTTAAAATCAGCAACATTCTGTATAAGCAGGTCCAAGTTAGTAAAAAACCGAAAGGTATACCGCTATACTTTGATAGATGCATGCCCTTATATTTACTATTTCTGTATATTAAGAATATTTCCTAACATCCAAACAAAAGTTGATTCAATTTTTTGATTTCCTTTGATCTAAAAGCAACATTGATATGAATTATGTAGGAAACTCCAGACCATTAAATTGAACTGAAGCATGAGGTAGAATATATTTATTCTAAAACTAACAACTAATCCAAGTAAGAGGGTAATTCTAACTGTGGTCATGTCCAATAGATGAAGATTCTCAATTTCTTCCAGTAACCTTTAAGACTCTGAGGATCATTTTCTCCCAAAAGAACCTAAATCATCCTTCCCTAAATGTAAATAAGGCCTCTTTGATCATTGGTCTGCTTTGGATCTGTCATTTTCTGCATGAAGATGCAAAAAAGGTAAATAAAGTTTTATTTATTTTTCAATTTCAGATCAAAGGTTAACCTTACCTGCCGTCTGATCTATTGACTGTAAACATTTGGTGAAGCTTTCACTTTCTTATCAGTTAAATTTTAAGTTATAAAAAAAGTATCATGGTGCATATCAGAACCTGAAGTTCAAGAGCCTTAAGCGATTTATAAATACAATCTTCACCCTCCTACCTCTAATAGACATAATACAGGGCAAAATACCAGTAACTGCTCTAAAATCTTATTTAGCAATAAATGTTCTACTTCATATCTTAACAGGCACAAAGAGAGATTGATACTTTTTCCAGCAGCTAAGCTGTTCCCTTAAACCCTGTATGCTTTGCCCATCATCAATAAGCAAAAAGTCCAGTGTGTAAGCTACTTTTTTCCATATGTACAGATATCTTTTTAATTAACTTATCCTCCGAGTCTTTTGTTTTTTGCAGCTTTTGGAAAACTCGGCTCCCAATGCAATGTTTAGAAAAGTAAAACCCCAAACCTGGGGTGAGTAAAGTTCAGCAATATCCCAAAGAAAGCTTAAAATTCAAGTCTTTGTGAGCATCACTGCTTCTTTTCCTTCTTTCTCTTGTCTGTCTTCTTGCCAGATGATGTGGTGACGGCAGGTTGTCTGATGGGCTGAACTACAACCCTCCCGTTAGCCCCGCACTGCAGGGTGAACCTCTCAGGGTTCAGGGGCCGTCCCGAAGCATCCCTCAGCCGAGACAGTATGTCCCGGCTCAGCTGTTTAAACTGGTGGGCCACAGCGCCCATTGTCTTGGCTGTAAGCCGCTTCTCCCTCAGCAGTCTATCCCTCTGGGCTTGCAGCCTGTCCACCTCCTCTTGGAGGCCTGTGATGGCATCCAGCTTGCGCTTGCGGCAGTTTTGCGCTGCCAATTTGTTCTTGCCACGCCTGCGAATGTCCCTCAGGAGGGTCACTTGTTCCGGGGTGAAGCTGTGGCTGTCCAGAACCTCCATAAACTCTTCCACGGGCATGTTGACGATCTGAAGAACAGAAAAGGGGATGCACATGGCACGGGCGCGCAGCTCGTCACGGCTCAGCTCCCGTTCATCCAGCTGAAGTCCGCTGTCCTCCTCCGGCTCCTCAGTCTTACAGGGCAGCCTTAGAGATGGCTTGGTGAGGAGAGGAGAAGACGAGTAACTGTGATTGTGCCACACACTTTCACCAGGATCCACAGATGGCCACAATGTGCTGTGGTCCATTATGCCTTTAGGAGGTTTGGAGTCTAACTCGCTGCTGTAGCCTGTGGCTCCGCCTTCTTCTTCATAATAGGAGCTGGATGATGACATCTCAGATGAACCTGAAAGAGACAAGAGCAAATGACTGTGTTGGTACATACATACATTAGTAATATATGTGTAAGCTAAATGTATTTTTTAGGATTTTCACAAACCTGGAGATGCTGGACATCCATAGCTGCTCTCCAGCGAGAGTCCTGAATCGGAGTCCAAGTCCTCAAAGGCTTGAGAGTCCAAACACTCAAGGAAGTTCAGGTGATTGTCAATGGTGCCCAAGCTCTCCAAACCCAGCTGATTGATTTGGTCAAACACTGCCTCATCAAGACAGTCACCCAGTGCGCTCTGTGATGTCATATTTCCAGTTAAATTACACACTGAGGCAAAGGGGAGAGCGGCGAGGCCAACAGCCATCCCTGGCAAAGAGTCTGAGAGCGAGGAGTTTGTGGACTCCAGCTGTAGCAGGGATCTTTGCTGCTGATTGGCTGTCCTGGACTCCGCTGCAGCAGGTGCCGGACCGAAAGACCCAGAGTTGGTTACCATGGCGTCATGCAAACTGACATCCTGGCTGATAGCACTGTTGATGTCTGAGTCGAGCTCTGACAGACGTTCAGCAATAAGAGTGTCGAAATCCTGAAAATAAAAGATGTATTTTTTAAAAACCAACATTTTCTTTCTACAACAATCCTGCATCTTTTTTACATCAAAAATCAATCATTTTCAAGACATGACTCAAAAAATGTAAGATGAGGAAATAAAATGATGCATGGATGCACTTAGAGATGATATATGATGAAAAAAAGAGACAATTTGATGAATAACAGATGGATGAATGAATGCACAGTTGGATTCAGACAATAGGAGATGAAATAAAAATAATGTATTTGTCTTAATATTAAATAAGCACAGAGATCTTAAAAATACTTTAGTCATATTCCAATATTTCTGGACTGAATAAGGACCCAGTTAATTAGCTTTAGATTTATTCCCCTATTAAACCCCTAAACTAACAACCCTGTTCGCTTGTTTCTCTTTATGCAACGTTAGAAAGCTTACATTTAGATCAGTAACAGAGAGCAAATTATTCCAGTCGATATCAGTTGCAGGAGGAACATCATGAAGCGCCGGCTCAGACAGTGAGGGGATGCCTTCAAGCAGATTCTGGGAAAAAATTAAGATAAAAAAAATTAAGACATTAGAGACTGAACAAGAAACCTAATTTAACAAACAGGCTATAATTTATCTCAGTGGTTGTAAAATTCCTTAAAATGCATTTTCTTTCTGATAAAGTAGATTTATCAAACAAAGAAAGTTTTGGAAAATCAAACTTGAAATTTAAGTACACTTACTGCTTCAATCAATTTTAAAGATTAAATTTTCTAACATAAAACTCCTTCTGTCTGTAGATATAGGACCTTTCTTCTCCCCTAAAGGATGCCAGTCTTCTTTATCTGACAAGGGTAACATACAAAGAAGGTGCTCTTGGGGGAAAAACCCGTCATACTCAATATTAGGCATGAGTTTATTTTCAACCCATTCCCCCATAATCCTCCTTTCAGCTGACCAAAGCATGCTGCTCCAGTTACCTCACACGATTTTTAATCGACAGAAAGTAAGTTTCCCTGATCTGCTTCTATAACTAGAGACTGCTATTTGATTTAATCAGCTTTGTATTTTTCAGATTAGTCTTTTTTATTTCCCTTGCCATCTCAGTCTGAAAGCAAGATAAACTTAAATCCTCTTCTACTCTTGTTTGAGACTGCTGAACATATTGAAAAGTCATCGCCAATAAATCTGACTTATTCATCTTAAAAAGTATCATTGGCTCCAGCTAAAACCTACAAACTGCAGACAAGTCAAAAGCAGAAGTAGAAATTCAAACATGCTTGATTGCTTTATTTACAACAATTTTTCATTCCGCTGGATGTACCCAAAGTAAAGTTAGGAATTTCTAAAGATAATAAAACACCTTTACCAGGGGAGCCAATAAGGACAACGGTGCCATAGCACTGCTTTTGTTCAGAATCATTACACTGAAGTTTTGGCTTATGTAAAAACAGTTTTCAGGTTTCAGAGGAGTCTTAGAACATATATAACTATTTAAAGCAGAAGTGAGCCGACTCTTCAGAGCAGATGACTCAGGCAGGAAGCACAGGAACAGCAGCAAAAACTGGTCCATTTTCCTAACTGAAACTCTCGAGGCAAACTCCCACACCTATCTTACATAACCAGCACTAATAGGAAAAATGGGTGAGGCATATTTGCCAAAAGCCGAGTTTTCTGGTATCTAGTGGCTCCTGTTTATGAATCATAGTAAAGCACAAAATCGCCTAGCAAAACAAAAACAAAAAAAACGGAATAACAACTTTGCGAACTTCTTTGAATGAAAAAATATATTAAAAAATACTTGAATCTGAATCAATCATATCTAGGATGACAAAGCTGCAAAAAACTAAAACAATGACACAGAATGTCGTTATCATAGGAGTATATGAATCTCCTTACCTCCTGTTCTAGTGTTGAGCTGTGAGCCAGCTGGGTGAGAGGAACCGCCTCCTCCTCTTCTTTAACTTTAACTTCATCCTCCTGGGCGGCAGAACACAGGTGGATAGAGGGAATCGGAAGGTGAAGTTTGGGACGATTTCATGTCATAGAAGAGGAAAACAAACACCTTGTTAGCTGCAAACCAAAAAGCCACCAGGGTTCACCAAGGTTCAGGTTCACCGGTCTTGTGTTAGCCATAGAATCCAATTCTATGTTTTACAAAACATTGCTTATAATAGTCTCAAGGTCTGTTTTTATTAAGCAGTTGTAAAAGTTAGATCAAAGATGACATGATACACCTCCAGTGATGTGGGTCACCAGCTGTAAAAAACAAACAACTATTGTGTTGTTTTTGTGTCGTGCACAATATGACTGCATGTACAAAGGTTATAATTACTTTATTTTTACCAGCCTGTAAAAAAAAAAAGGAAAGCTCTCCACACCAGCCTGTTTCTGCCCTGCTCTGCCTGGACTTGAAATTCCTTACTCGGCCGCTTCTTTAGCTTCAATTAAAACTGTTAAGGTTGACAACTTCTGATTTTAACACTTGAAAAAAAATCACAGCTGAAGCACTGTTCCTCAAAAAGAATAGAAAGGAGGTCATCTAAAGGGGTTCAGGGTGTAAAACATAAGACACACATCACTGTCACATCATGCATGTTGAACTGAACTCTGAAGGAGGGACAATGTTCAAGTGTGGGCCACTGCTTTTACAAGTAAACAGGGTGTGGACCTGATCCTCACTCCTTTACCTCTCAAGGTCCACAGCTGGTGGCTGAGTCCAAAGAAAGCTGATACGGTAACACAGTTTGTGGCGACAGCTGTTGCCAGGACATAATATACACATAGCAGCTGGTTCTACTAGAAAGGGTTTGAAAGTTTTACCTCAAAATGTATGAGAAACTCCAAGAAATGGCCCTGACCGGTCATCGGCTATTAGGAAACTCAAATCAAATTTTTTTTAGCTAAGAAACTAAATTTAAGCAGCTTTAGAAATGCTAGCTGTGCTAATCACTTACATAAATGCTAAAATCTATATTTCAGGGTTGTTTTAAAATATCAGAGTAACTGTTTTACAGCGACTGTTTTCTCAGACAAAACGTGACATCACATCTGCCCCAAGGCATAAACACGTAACGTCCACTCACTACAAAAAGCTCAAAAAGCATACTTTAGCATACTGTTCTAGTATGATTGTATATCCTTGCTCTCAAAGACAACTCCACTAGTAAAGAAGGAAACTAAAACCAAGGTATTTTATCTTTGAGTTATTTGGAGGCTTCAAATGCCAGCTAAGGGTGACATGATAGATAGCAAAGACTGACAGGTGCAGCTGACACTTAACTGAATACTTTTGATGCTTGACTGTCATGTTTATTTAACTAACCAGTTTGGTGAAATGTATTAACCAAGTTTCTAAAGACACTTGGTAATCATTTTATGAGCAGACTGACACCTCAGTAGTTCAGCACTGGTCATCTATAAGCCTGTAGCCTTTTTTCATGAATTTACTTCAGGTCGGAAGTTTTTGCGCTTTTCTACAGATGTGACGCCAAAGTTGTCCGTGTTAAATGAGCCAAACCTACTAAATAATCAAAGCGTTATATTCAAGATGGATTTTGTGGATACTTGGAACCGGTATCCTGCTCAACTCAGACCACGATGGCAACTCCATGCAAAATAAACAAAACAACGTAAAAATGTATCAAGCTACGTGAATGAGCAGAAGAGTGTTGCAGTTCTGTGTTTTGGCCACAGGTGGCAGTATCATCAGAAAACTCTGTAACGCCTCTTTTAGACTACCTTTATTAAAATAACCACTTCACATTGCAAAGTATCCCTAATATATACAGTGCCAGTAAGACGTTTTCATACACTCCACAGAATGAGTGCCCTTAAGTGAATGTAGAAAAATAACTAAAAGACAAATAAACTTTGGCTGGGTATTCATTTATTTTGTATTTTCTTTTATTCAAATCAGGTCAAAATGATGCTAAACTATAATCACTCCAACCTTTTCTTATGTTAAATCCACACTGCAGATAAACCATTTCTTTTTGGCATCCATTTTATGAAGTGGAGTTCAGTTCTTGCTAATATTTCACCGCTCCTTGAAATAAAAACGTTATATTTTTTTTTTAAACTGTTGAGGTGTTAAGTAACAGACTCAACTTTTCAATGCGGGCGAAGAATTTTTAGGGAGGGCTAAAGATAGTGTCTTTCTATGGGTTTAATATTGAGCTGTATCCTTGCAAAATAACAGTTTTCTCTACGTTTTAAACTGAAGTATTCTGCCTCCTCCTTGTTCCCTACCCATTTAGGCAGAGCAGACCTTAAATATAAAAAAATATAACCGTGGATGTCTGGGGGATAGTGATTCACTTACATGTTATGAATGCTGGCGTACCATAAATGATAAATTATGAACAGTTTAGTTTGTGCCTTCAAATCATTGCCCATAGGAAGACGTTACTTGGATATAACCTAACGGAATATCTTCAGAACAGTTCTTAATGAAACAAAACTCATATGGGTGAGTAGAACATGATGTAATAATGTAAAATCAAGGACCCAATGTAAAAAAAAAACCTGGTGTTTCCCTTTAAGGATGCGGCTGCTACCACCATGCTTGACAATTGCTGAAGTGCTCCCAGGTTTAAAAGCCTCAAATAAGACTCCTTTCACTTTTGACTATGAAAGTGAAAGGCCAGCATTTTCCAATTTATTATAAGCTTCATTCTTGGTGATTTTCTGGATTGTGCCGTAGACAGCTACTGTTTGGCTCAGATGGTTGTACTATGAGACTTTTGAATGATGTAAGATATA